AAAGCCTCCTCCATATAGTATTAGCTTCGCTTTACGCCTATTAATAGAAGAGGCGATACATCATCACCGTGTCAGGGTAAGGGTTGCCAGCAAAAACTACAACATTGAGACATAAATTCGTTAAAAGGAAACAATTTGAATCAAACATGCCACTTAGTTTTAAACTATAGTGGTTTATTTGTTCCTTATTAGTAAAAATGTCATGAACATTTTTTTTATCACATAGTTAATAAAACGGTCATCTGACAAATCATTTCATAAATGTTAGTAAACAGCAGATTTAACTATGTTAGATTAGATTCTTACTAATATTATAAATGCGAATGTTTGGATGGATGTTTGTTTGAAGGTATCTCCGGAATGGCTGAACGGATTTTTAATGAAATTTGACACGGTACTTATTATTATTTTTTTAAATATCGCGCGGACGGAGTCGCAGGCGACAACTGAACATTAGAAATATAATATTTTATGTTCGTTTATTCAGCCACGGCGTATTTCAATTTAGAATAAAATAATACAAGTAACACAATAACATTTGGGTATAATACCAAAATGTCAAATGAGATTTTTTTGTCGATTAATTTTTCCCGCCAAAATTTTGACAGCTTGACATCGCGCCACCCACAGACAAGTGTTACCAACACAGATTATAACAGATCGTGTGTCAAACAATTCAATTAACAATACCCTTACGCATTGTAAGAAATCCATTCAAATAAACATTTCGTTAGAAAAAAAAATCAAACGACTTTAAGTCTTATTCCATTGTGAGATTTGATAGTCGATTGTTACTAACCTTTGAATATAAAGAAACGGACTAGGCAAAGAGTCGCCATACCAAATTTTCTCAAATTAACAAAGTAAAGATCACTTTTGTGCATTGTGTATTAGAAAATGTAAAGAAACAGACTAGGCAAAGATTTTGTAACCAACTAAATTTTGTCACTTTCACGAAGGATTAGGTAAAGATGACGGTTGTGTATATCACGGAGACAATTCGTCTTAATGAACGCTTAGAAACAGACGCAAAAACACCAAACGAGCACACAAGGAAGTTAAGAATTGTTCGTTTTTTTTCTATGACTTTGACAGGTCCTGCCTTTATGAGTTAAAGATTTGATAGTCGATCATTGGTGGCTTTGTAGTTGTTTATTGTTGAGAAGAAATAGGTCATTTATTGTGACTGTGTTTGTAAGGGTTGGTTAATACTGATTTTGTATCATCATCAATCAAACTGACGGATCGGTATCCTGTCGTGGTGAAAGTTTAGTGTTGTGCTTCGGTTCTTTGAAGTTGTTATATTGAGAAACTTTAATCAATCGTAAAAGAATCGGTATTAAGAAATGTTTTATATTTATTATGATGATTAAAAGGTGTTATTAATAAGGTCTTTTGATAGATAACTCGATAAGTACTAGTGTTGGGATATCGATTTAACAAGACTTTTCTATCAACAGTCGATAAAGTTTTTTTATATCATAAGGTGGCAAACGAGCGAGCGGCTACCTGAAATCGTTGAAATAGCGAAGTGACCATTGCCTATAGATATACGCAATTGCTTATGCGTTGCCTACCTTTAACTAACGGAGGCGAGGATGCACAGAAAGAAAATATTTTCCCTTTCCGTGCATCCTCTCATACGGAAAGTCCAGTTCCACTTTCCATCCTTTCCTTATAAGAAAAGGGGTGAGAAGGGAAAGAGGACTAAATTAGGCCTCCGGGACGTAAACTCATCAGACGAAACGCGGAATTGCTTCCACTTGACGCTTTCTGTTTGGTCGTGGTATTTCACCGGGCGAGACGCGCCAATTTGTGCGATGATGTTAAAGCGGGCTCTTCCACTCTGTTAACTTTTACAAAAAAAATAATTTCTTGATAATGAATAAAATAATTACTTAAATAGTTCTTAGTAATAACTAGATGTGTAAGCTAATGAAGCTGTTATACGATTAGTGTTGCCAGATCTTAATCAGCAGCCGTTGGTATATATTAAATAACGATATGGCTTCCGTGTACGTTATTGTGACCATATATCTACAAAATTCATGGACTTATTACTGTTTAATCTATAACACATTGTAATCCCGGTTGTTCATTATGTATATACTGCGAAATGTTATTATAGTTGTATGTCTTCGGTAGTATTTTGTTGAATAACAAGCTTTTGCTCGCGACTCCTGCCGTACGTAATTAAAAAAGCTTGATTAGTAGCTTATATGTTCTTTCAGATGTTTTACATTTACGCCAAAGCGTAAATGCAGCCATGCCATGCAGCTATTCTGGAGATACCTTCTTACAAACACCTATCCATTCATACATCCAAACATTCGCATTTATAATATTAGTAAGTTACATTCTTTTATATTTATTTTATATTTTTAATCGATATTTTACGTCAGGCCTAACTTTAATTTTTAATGATTATTTCTTTTTTTATTAACTTACTCCAAAAAGGAGGAGGTTCTAAATACGTCTGCATGTTTTTTTTTCATTCTAATTTTGTTTCAATCATGTCCTATATAATTTGGTGGTATGTCCACCGTAGCATGAGTTAAGCGTTGATAGGCAGTGCGCAGGCGGCGGCTGTGTACTTTCGATCGTCGACTGTAAGATACCAGACCGCATGTGGACTAAATATAATGTAGACATGTTTCATACGTAGTAGCAAATCTTAAAGAGACATGAAACAACAAGACATGACACAAATCAAATGGATATGGATAATCATTATAAAAATACTTTTTTATACTTAAATATCTGTAAAGGGAATTAAATGAGTAGCCTATGTGTTCTTCCAGACTATGTTCTATATCTATATCAAATTTCAGTATCTCCGGAAGAGCGTCGGTGGCTCAGCGGTCAAGCACTCGACTTGCAATCTGCAGGTCCTGGGTTCGAATCCCGCCATGTACCAATGTGTTTTTCGATTTCCGATTTACATATGTACATTTATCCGACATTCTTACGGTGAAGGAAAACATCGTGATGCACTTGGCCAGCGTGGTTGACTATGGCTTAATCACCCTTAACTAGGGTAGGCCCCGAGCCCCTCGGTGGGGACGTATAGTGAGCTGATGATGATGAGTATCTCCGGAAAGGCTCAATAGAGATCTGTTGAGCCGTTTCGGAGATGCCTTCAAGCATCCATCTAAACATTCACATTTATAATATTAGTATGAAGTGCGATGAATGAAAAAACGGTTAATACGGAAATGGTAAAGTATTGTAAAAATGAGGGCTAATCCACACCAAAGGGCTTGGAAGCTACTCGAATTAGGGGTGACCAGGTCATAGTCAACCACGCTGTACCAGTGTTGATTTCACACATCTTTGATTTTTTGCGTAGATATGTGTAGGTTGCCTCACGATGTTTTCCTTCACAGTAAGAACGTCGGATAAATTAACGTATGAGTTTCGAAAATTGAAAAAAAACATTAGTTCAAGCGGGGATTTAATTTGACTTTAAAACTGCGTGAACGAAACTGGTTTTTAAATTTGCTAAAACATAATTAAAATATATTGCTCAAAAGCCCTGTAGTCAAGTTATTAGTGTATTTTAAATTAAACGACATACATCAGGATATGTCATGATTCCTTTACGTGCAGGAATGCAGGATCAATCTAGTTCATTGCGTTATGTGTCAAATTCATTGGAACTGGAAATAAATCAATTGCTACAAACATTTATGTGACACAACTTTGTAATCCGTGTCACCTAACATTCAAACATCGTGTCACCTAACATTCAAACATCCTGTACACATGTCAGTCTTTATGTGAATTCTTGGTTATATTGCAGGGTTTGTTACTAGATGTGCTGGCGACTTTGTCCGCGTGAAATAGTAGTCTTAGTTAGCATTTCCTTATTGTCTATTTGAATGACAAATGTATTTATATCGAATCAACAACCTAAAAAATGTCAAAAATGACAAACTTTTTTTTCGACCTTTTATCAGCTTTTTTCGTATTAAAAAGTAGCCTTTGACTTTACTCAGGCTCTACAATATCTGTGTTCCAAATTTAATTTAAATCGGTTCAGTAGTTTTGGCGCGAAAGCGCAAACAAAGTGACTTTTTTATGTTAAATAAAAATCAAAATTATATATGCATCTGGTTTAGTAAAAGAATTTAAGGGACAAAGAATGTTTTGCCTTAAAAAAAAATTGTTAATAAATTTTTTTTTGCTTGTGTCCTCGTAATTTTTGTTTATATTTTCCAACTAAAGTTATTCGAATGTTACGAAAGAAAAGATAACGCCCATACGATTGTTCTCATGTGACATTTAAATGTGCCCTCTGACCGTTACATTCCACGCATAGTGTAATACTACAAAATACCAAACACTATCATCTATCTATACTGTCTATTATTTCTAATGCAATCACAATATAACACATTTAACTTTAAATTAGTAACAAATGTACTGTTTAAAAATATAAATTAAGTATTAAAAACAATAATAAGTAACAAAAATTTAAAAACTGATTGAAATGAGCTTTGATATATAAACACGTCTAAACACTGAGGTATATACGTCCGGTGGCAGCACCGACTAGTTTCGAGCCCATCGGCGGCCCTTCATCAGGATGAGTGGTACTAGTATTATTTCGCGGACGCGACCCGTCGCTCACTGATACGGTGCCGCCACCGGACGTATATACGTGAGTGTTTAGCCGTGTTTATATATCAGTTTAGTATAATGTCTCACGAAAGTTTGAATAATTGCAATGAGCTTTGTCTAAAACGAAAACTTCTTATAATTAGATCACAAGAATGTAAAACCATACACGAAAACTAAAGGTACGCGTCCATTGGCCTGCGCCGGACGTACCGCACGCACGGAGTAATCTTTCCAAGCGGGCGGCGCGGATGGACTCAACACTGTAAAATCATATAAAGTTAAAATCCGTTGCGGGCCGTGCGGGCGATGCGGGCCAATGGACACGTACCTTATTTTATTTCAATTTGTATGTATGATGTATGTGTGTGTGAACTTACATTAGCGTAGTGGAAGCCGCAGGCGTCCATGCAGAGGTAGAGGCAGGTGGAGACCCCCTGGATCGTCAGGAGGCCGACCTTGTATGTCGCACGCTGAAGTATCGCTGGAACAAAACGCCAGATCTTACTATCTTCAAGTTACAACTATACCACGCGTCCCCTTCCCTTCCCTTACAATGCTAAACACTGAATAACTTTTTAAATTATAAATTATTTGGTAGATAGTAATTTAGAGTTGTATAATGCCCGCTTAACGTTCCGTTTTAACAGAACTGGGAGGTTAGACAAAGTATATTCGCTACGCAGCGACTCCATAGCTCATTTCAAAAACTGACACGCGACAATCACACGACTTATCCAAAGTTCCAGTTCCATATATATTTGAAGTTTCCTATGGAATCGCCTCGAATTTAATGCATTTTCTCTTACCCCGCTGTTCAATTGTTCTTGAAACAAACGGCTTATTTAAGTGATGTCCGAAAAAGTGTTTAATGCAAACGTATTCTAGTGTAAAATGTATAATCGAATGAAAACAAAATATAAGGAAATATTATCTTTCTGTGCATCCTCTCCTTCGTCGATTAAAGGTAGGCAACGCATATGCAATTGCGTATGTCTATGGGCAACGGTCACTTCGCTATTTCAGCGATTTCAGGTGGCCGCTCGCACGTTTGCCACCTTATGATATAAAAAAGAACATTTTTATTACCTATTTCATGTTTTAAATTCAGAATTCTTTAAATACAGATTAAATGTTATTATCCGTGAGAAAATTCAAATCTAAATACAAAAGTTTATAGTCGCAACATCCCTATTTATCTGTCCACTCATTTGACATCTGTAAATGGTAAATACCGTTGAAATGTCTAATACATATGTCTCGTACCGGTCACATAAAACACACCGTGAAAGGAATGTTCAACCATCATTCACTCACTATTCATTCACTTACTATTCATTCACTTACAAGACATTAAATAAATAGACAGTAATTTCATTCAATCCAGGTCAGGGATAGCGAACCAATGGCACGCGACGCAATATTTTCTCTGAATCACTACGAATAAAGTTTGTAGTAATTAAATGGGGATCAAATAAAACGCTTTGATATGTTGCCAATCTTAAAAATAAAATTAACATTATGTTGGATCTTGGGGGTTAGACAAAGTGCATTTACTTCGAAGCGATTCCATAACGAACTTCAAAGATGTATACTGTTAGGAAGAAAATCCGACACTGTGCTGGTGTATCGGTGCAACACTAGCCTTACTAAAATGTCGACGCTTATGTCCCCTCACTAATCATTCTGACACTTGACTTTGTAACGAAAGCGCGAGAATCACGCCAAAAGATTCTAATAAATAATGTCTTAAAATACAGACAATCATTGTCGATAAATTAGGTGATTGTCGCGCGTCATTTCCATTCAATATTGATGTGCGCTATGGAATCGCTACGAAGCGAATGCACTTTGTATCACCCGCTTATTATTTATTGCTTTAGAAAAATGCCACATATGTAGAGATTCGCCATTCTTTCTTTAGTAGTTAGCATCGTGTTATGTATCTATCAACAGCTAATTGTACGGCTTTTCTTAAGTTTTATGAAGGACTAACTGTCGCCCGCGACTCCGGCCGCGTGGATATATAAAAAACTTAATTAGTGTAACCTATGTGTACGTATGCCAAATTTAATCGAGATCCGTTCAGCCGTTCTAGAGATATCTTCAAACACCCATACATCCCATCCACATCACATCCATCTAAACATTCGCATTTATAATATTAGTAAGTTAAATAAAAAGCAGGTCTTCGAGGCAAAAATTCGAAAAAAATAAGTAGTATCCTATGTCCGTCTCCTGGCTCTAAGCTACCTCCTCGCCAATTTTTATTAATATCAGTAAAGCCGTTCTTAAGTTATAAATAGTGTAACTAACACGACTTTCTTTTATGCAGATGCAATTTGCCGAACTAAGATTTGTCAGGGCAAATTACGAACAGGCGATGTCCACAATATTCCGGTAGCATATCCAAACAGCTTATAACGTAGACACAAACCGTTTGAGTTTAACTTTAAGTGTGCTATTTTACGATTTCCCGTGCAAATGATAAATAAACTATGTTCCATTTAACTGAATGAATGGACGAAAGATAATCTAATATAGTTAGCTTTGTGTGTAACGAAAGGTATATTTTAGAATCTAGCTTATGCTTTCTAATACAGGCTTGTTATCCTAGACCTAGAATTATTAGATGTTTTTACGTTTACTAGCCACCATTATTATAACAATATATTAATCGTATTAAACATATCTTTAGCAAGATATTTGATATGGTTTGTTGGTCTAATAATGCTACCTATTATAATGCTTTGCAAGAATACAGTTATTATTTGCAATAATATTTAACACTAACCATCATCAGCTCACTATACGTCCCCACCGAGGGGCTCGGAGCCTACCCTAAGTTAAGGGTGATTAGGCCATAACCAACTACGCTGGCCAAGTACGGGTTGGTTGACTTCACACTTATCTTTTGAATTTCTTCTCAGATATGTGCAGCATCACGATGTTTTCCTTCGCTGAAAGAACGTCGGATAAATGTACATATGTAAATCGGATATCGAAAAACACATTGGACAAAGAAACACATTGGAAACATACCTAGGATTCTAACCTAGGACCTGCGGATTGCAAGTCAAGTGCTTGACCCCTGAGCCACCGACGCTCTCACTAACTTAACACTAACCGTGAGTTTTTAAAACCAAAATCTGTGTATAAAATATATCGTTATCCTTGTCATTATCGTTGACAAAACTGAGATAACAATATGTTTTAAATATATATTTTGTACACACAAACTCGCGGTTAATACATAATTTAAAATTTTGATTGAATGGGCTAGCTTAAATCTATATTTGGCGGGAGACACTAAAAATGTTTGACATATAAACTTGATTATTAACTGTTGGTTTCTGAGCCCCAATAACACAAATATAACAATACGTTTTAAGCGGAGATTTTGGTCTCAGAAAGCAAGGGTAAATGCATTGAATACTTCTTGAATATCTAAAATCTAAAACTATGAAATAATGGTGGTAGCACATGTTTTTGTACGGACATAATATATAGACAGTTGGCCATTTCGTATCCAGTTTTACTGCAAACAATGTAACGACACCTATTTTGTTCCAGGAAGAGAAATCTACATGTCGGATTGGATCTACCGTTTGAGACATTACTATAAAATGACATTTGTATTGTCCAGTGGCGCCATCGCAGTACGTACTTATACAACTACAAGTTTTATTTACTAGCTTAAACTTGACAGCTTAGGTGTTTCTGACCCTGTTCTACATCTAAGCCAGATTTCAGCAAGATCCGATGCCGGAGATATCTTCATTCAAACATCCATCCATCCAAATATCCGAATTTAAAATATTAGTAGATTAGTAGTATTCATTTTTAGAAATTAAAGAGTTTAAAAAATCGTTATCAATTATCAATTTACAAAAAACAATTGACAATCGATTAAAAATGCACTTCAATACTTTATATTATCTGTTCTTTTAACTTAACATAGATTTATAAGATTACTAGCGGACCCGACAGACGTTGTCCTGTCTACACGTCTTTAATTTGAATAAATTAATATGAAGTTAATATTTGATGAAAATTGTGAATCTAAACCATTCCCAGATCCCCTTGAACACACACAAAAAATTTCATCAAAATCGGTCCAGTCGTTTAAGAGAAGTTCAGTGACATACACACTCACAGAAGAATTATATATATAAAGATTAAGCGAATGCACTTTCTCGTATGTAGTTAAATAGAATCAGAATTGCATACAATCCTTTAATTCGACACGGCTCTCTCTGATACTCCATCCTTTTAAGGCGGACTTGATTTAAACTTACATTGGATTGCTGTAACATGCACTAATCCAATACAGCTTTGTTCTCTTAGATTATGCGAGAATTTTTGCGCATTTAAAAAGACTTTTTAACAATAATTACTTACATGTTTGTGTATGTTTACTTCAACCTAAATTTGGCGTCTTAAAGTACAACCTAGGATTTATTTCTTTTTTGCATTACTTTATAATAATACTAGCTGTAGCCCGCGGCACCGATCGCGTGTAATTAAATATAACATAATTAGTAGCCTATCTGTTCTTCCAGATTATGTTCTATATGTATGCCAAATTTCATCAAGATCCATGAAGTTGTTCCGGAGATACCTTCAAACATCCATCCATACATCTAAACATTCGCATTTATAATATTAGTAAGATATAGACGCGAATAAGTTGTTTTAAAAACAGGATAAAATTAGTTTCACTTTTTAAAATGTTTGTTTAATTCGTAATGTTTTTTTTAATGTGGCTCTACGGCAGCAATGCTTTTTACATTACTTAAAAACATTAAGAAATATTATATAACGCCTTTAGAATTACAATATAGTTATTTAGAATGATTTATTCGATAGTGTGTAGATGCCCTTAGTGGATAAGGAATGCTCTGTCGGCGCCCCGGGCGATGCTCGGGCGCGGAACGTACGCGCTAAGAGTGTTAACACGATTTTGTAAACTTTACGGATATTCCCATATTCATTTTAATCTTACTTATAAATGCGAATGTTTTGATGGATAGATGTTTGTATGAAGCTATCTCCAGAACGCATGGATGTCGATGAAATTTGACGATGTAGAACATAGTCTGGAGGAACACATAGGCTACTAATTAAGTTTTTTTTTCATTCTGCGCGGACGGAGCCGCGGGCGACAACTAGTGAAGTATGAAATTTAAATATACTAGCATAAAACTTGCAAGCCACATAATAAAATAAAAAAATATTCATAAAATAAAATAAAATAAATTATCGATAAACATTTTTAAATGTCGATATTGAATTATGACAATTCTATCCCATTAGCTACGCACTAGAGATGCACCGTGCACACGATAAGTGATGTATCGATGAGCGACGTTAATTCTCGCTAAGAAGCTGTGAATGAGGCGCTGCAATTTGCCGACACCCGACTGACTACATATAATGAGACCTCATTGAAGCTTAGTGATGTGACTTGGATATCGATATGAA